ATTGAGTTCAGGGTTGATGAATGAATAGGGCAAATAAAGCATTCTCTATGCTTGGACTCAGCATAGACAGCTCTGGAAAAGAAGCCACCTTACGTTACCTGATGGATTTATCTAGCCTTCCCCCCCCCCCCCCCGCCCCCCCCCCCGCCCCCCCCCCCGCCCCCCCCCCCGCCCCCCCCCCCGCCCCCCCCCCCCCCCACCCCCTGCCTCTGGGGCCAGATCACAACTGAGCCAAAAGGTTAGTAGATTAAACTTTCCTTACCAATTAGTCACTTAAGCTTTTTATTGGCTTTGTGTAAAGTGTCTTTTAAAGGAGGCAATAAATTTTTTGAAATATTTTTAGAAATTTTTACACATCAATAGGCATCACTGGATAAGCCTAACTTGGGAGCCCTCATTTTTAAGTGCAACATCGTTGATTTGGAATGTTCTACCACACTTTTAAATGATCTTCAGGATGATTTTGTCGTGCTTAAATGCATTTTTTGCTTCCAGAACCTAAAACTTATGCATGTAACTTATACATAGCTGGAAGAGGGAACACTCAGTTCTTCAGAAATTAGATATCCCATTTTTGCGTTAAACGTTGGCTTTGGCTCTGAGATCTCCTTGATCGACATTTTCATATTTTATAATTTTTTATAAATTTTTTCCCTGATCAACTTTTTAATTTTCCAAAAAGCTAAAGATTTCTCCCTACCTAAGCATGCAAGAAAAAGAGACAAAGATGATAGAGCACAAAATCCTTGCAAATTTCTAAAAACAGGAGTTCATTCCCTACAGTGTTTGCCATTTGATTCAATCTGATCCTGGACCCAGTCCGGTTTCTGTCTGTCTGACTCAACCAGACACCTGAGGCCTCTAACTGAATCCGATCCAGTGAATAACTAGATCCACTCCTATCCCGGAACCCGTCCAGTTTCTGTCTTGACTTCCAAACCCAGTTTGGATAAACTGCCACCTCTTCCAGGAACCTTTCCATGATTCTCCTGAACTCCTTAGCGCTTTGCTTTTCAGACCTCTATCGTTGTCTAGTTATTTGTGACCGTGACTATTCTCCTTGAGAGCACACCTCGGACTTCTCCACATATGCATCCATCACTGCTTCTTACACCCTGGTGCTTCCCTAAGCTTAGTCATTGACCTTCTATCTCCACAATTATACCATTCCCACGTCCAACTTGACTACCAATTTACTTGATATTTTTCTTTAAATTGACATTTTAAAAACCTGTTTATTATCAAAGAGAATTTTGTATACCTAATGCAATGAGGATAGTGTTTTGAAAAGAAAAAGCCAGCATGATTTGAGTTTCTATACTGAGAAATCATCCCTAACCCATGGCAACCATTATGGCAAAGTAGTAGGGTATGGAGTAGAGGACCCCCAAAATAAACAGGGCAAAGTGGAAAATCTGCCCCTTCTGTACTATGGATTTGGAAAGGAGAAGGAAACAGGGTGGGGAAAGCAGGGGGTGATAAAAGGTACCTGACTCCCCTCTTACATGTAAGTCCAAAAGTGGGACTTAACAGGGTGTGCTAACCAGGGGAGCTGAAGGCAGCCTTGGTTCTCCAGGAGGAGGCTGACAACAGGGTGCCACATCTCTAAACCAACCTGGGGCAGCCACAGTGCAGTAAAAGTGGTTGGGCAAAGGGTGATCTCAGTGACTGCTCTCACTTCCTTTAGATCCCCTGTTTCATCACTGTGCAGCCTTGCAGGGAACACTGAGGTGATTGCCAATCAGGCTGGGAGCTAGATGAGAGGAAGGGCAGGGGTACAGAGGGCTACAGAGGTGCTCCCTGGGCTGGCGAACAGAATAGAGCCACAGCCTGACCTGGGGTTGAGCACGGTGCTGAGTGCTGGTTGGGGCCAAGGTGGGGCACTGAGTCAGCCAGGGAGGACCCATGGGCTCTGATAAAGATGAGAGGACAGACCATGAGCTGACAATTTGAGAATTCATCATCCTCCCAGGAACCTGGTACAGAAGGAAGTTGCTGCAGGGACCATGACAATGTGGGGACCTCTGCAAATGGCTCCAAGCTCTCTCTGCCCTTCTACTTACGTGGTCATGGAAGCCTCCCCGAACTCATGCAGCCAGGTGCCATCTTGGAAAGGAAAGCGTGTGGGGTGGGGAGCAAATCTGAGCCTCTGGATGTGCATCAAATGATTACGTTACCTAAAGAGACTTTAAATTACTGAATAGGACTGAGTTTACCACATTGACTTAAACGTAATTGTCTACTATGAACCAGTGGGGCAAGGCATTATCTTTTTGTTAAAAAGGGAAATTAACAGGCATTAGATGTATATAAAAGACATACTACCACCAAATTGAGTCTATCTCTTCTACAAAATCAGAATGGAAAGAGAACTATGGTGGAAATGGTTTCCCAATTATATATCTTCTATTTGCTGTTGTGTCTGGGGACCACCCCTAATTATCTCAGGCATCCCCTAATGTACAGGGCCTATGATCTGGGAACACCAATATGTCAGGAAACAATGTCACTAGCTATCATGTACGGAATCCCCTATAAGTAACAAACCCCAGGCTAAATGCTTGCATTTATCACTTAATTTAATGCAATTACACCCATTTTGTAAATGTGGAAACTGAGGCTCTGCAAGGTGGGATGACTGGTCCAATATCACAAGGCTGAAAAGCAGCACAGGCAGGACTTGAGCCCAGGTTACCTGCACCTAAGCTGCAGGCTTTACAATTTGGGCAGGAGGGAGAAGGAAATGAGGAGCACTAGGGAGATCAGGGAGGATGGGCCAGCTTCTGCAGTATGTGGGCCATGAAAAATCACTTAATCTTCCAGGAAACTAAGTAAGCACTTGACATTACCTCCTTGGACTTTGATGTCCCCATCAGTAGCACAGTCCAGTGGCCTGGAGGGCCCCTGAGAGACACAGACCACTGATGGGCTCTCCCTGTTCTCCCATATTGCTCTGCTGAAACCCAGAGGGACAAATCCAGGATGGGACCTAAGACCTCAGTCCGAGGCTTGGCTTCACATGTATGCTAATCTACCCCTGCTGATAGGCAGTGGATATCACAGCCCACTTCCATTCTCATAGGGGGAGGCTAAAGGAACCTCGAAAGCAGGAGAGTAAAGGCAGCTGCCTCCGGGTGGGAACCAGCCTGCAGGTGGGTGAAACAGAGTAAGCATATCCTGGGGATGGAATCAGGTCACTGGCACCATGAGCCCAGGGCTGGGAAGCCTTAGAGGTTCCTTCCCATCACCTGCTTCTTCAAACCCATCTTATGTTCATGTTAAACCCAAATACCATAACTTGATGTTCAAATCCCTTTCCATCTGGCTCCATCCTTCCATTCCAGACTAATGCCTCACCATACCTGATCACTGCACCTGAGTCAACACAGGGAAAAACAGGAGGGACTCCATCTTTCGTGCACAGGACTTCATCTCGGGATCAGAGGTTAAGAGCTCAGCTTTCAGTAAAATTCCATAGTATAGAAGTAAGAGCTACAAGCCAGCAGAAAACCACCCTTTCCAGGAAGGGACGAGGGAACAGACAACAGGTATATAATGATAACGGTTACGTTCCTTTTATAAAGTTAATGGTTACTTAAGAAATAACATCAAGGGAAAGTGTAACAAAAGTGTTCACACAAACATGTTTTTACAGACCTGCGAGAATCTTCTGATCATGAAAAAGGACATTTTTGAGAGACAAACAGCTGCATGGTAACAATCATGGAACAACATACTACGTCCTCTTTCTCAGCTGCTCTCCTCTCTGAAGAAAACCCTTATAAAGTCTCTACACAGTCCCTTCAGGGAGTGACTCTTTCCTTACCTGTCAGATCCCTTGTATATGAGCTATCTCTAGCAAACTTTGCCTGCTTACCTTCACTCTGAGTTCACTTCTATGACATAGAGACTCAAGGACCTGGCTTTCTAGATCTGGTAACACACCAATCACTGCACCTATCACTGCACCAGTCACTGCACCTATCACTGCACCTATCACTGCACTCATCACTGCACCCATCACTGCACCTATCACTGCACTCATCACTGCACCCATCACTGCACCTATCACTGCACTCATCACTGCACCCATCACTGCACCTATCACTGCACCTATCACTGCACCCATCACTGCACCCATCACTGCACCTATCACTGCACTCATCACTGCACTCATCACTGCACCCATCACTGCACCTATCACTGCATTCATCACTGCACCCATCACTGCACCTATCACTGCACTAATCACTGCACCCATCACTGCACCTATCACTGCACTCATCACTGCACCCATCACTGCATTCCCATTACTGCACCTCATCACTGTGCTCCAGGACTACACCCCATTCACTGCACCCCCTTCATTATACCGAATCTCTACACCCCATTGCTGCATCCCATCACTGCACCCCCTTCATTATACCCAATCTCTACACCCCATTGCTGCATCCCATCACTGCACCCCCTTCATTATACCCAATCTCTACACCCCATTGCTGAATCCCATCACTGCACCCCCATAGCTGGCCCCCATCGCTGTCCCCTCCTCACTGCACCTCCATCACTGTAACCCCATTGCTGCATCCCTCACTACATCCCATCACTGTACCTCATAACTTCCCCCATCACTGCATTGCCACTACTGTACCTCATAACTGAATCCCCATCACTGCACCTCGTTTCCACATGCAGTGTTTGTTAGTTACATTTTCTTGTTCTGGAATATTTTCCCTTGACTTCTTCACCTCATGAAATCTTACTTGTCTTTCAAGATCCCATGAAAAACCATCTCATCCATATAGACCTTGTAGTGGATTGAATTGTGCTCCCACAAAACTCACTGAAGCTTGATTTGTGTCCCTCAAGTTTTATGTATTAAAAACTTGGCCTCCACTGTGACCATTAAGAGGGTGGGAAATCCTATCATGGTAATTGAAAGGTGGAGCCTTGAAGAGGTGATTAGATCGTAGGACCTTGCAGTGGTGAATGGATTAATGATGGCGGTCAGTGGCGTGGTTCTGAAGCTAAAACAGAAGAAAGAGGAGAGTCTGTCTCTCTCTGTTTTCTCTGCTCCGCATTTTTCACAATGTGATCCTCTGCCATCACTGTCACCACCACAAAGTCCTTCACCAGCTACATTCCCTGGACTTTACACTTCCTAGCCTCAGAAACTGTAAGCAATAAATTTTGTTTTCTTATAAATCACCCAGTTCCAGGTATTTTGTTATAAGCAACGGAAATGGACTAACACAGACCTCTTCACTCTCAAATGCCCTGATTGTGCTCTTGCTGGTTTAACCACAGGTAGCGATGAGGATGATGATCAGAACAGCGATGGTGACAATGATGATGAGATGGCTGAGCCTGGTCACAAAACCTCAGCCCACTNGCTTTTAAAGATACCATATCTCCTGGAACCACAGTCAGACAATGCTAAAAATTAGATCCCACGTTTAACCATAAGGGTGGCAGAGCTACGAAGGAGGTTGATCTCCTAAGCAAAAGTCAGGACACTTATAGGGAATGACTGTGACCCTGAGACATGGAATGGGGACGTTTGGATGGATGCATTTGAGAACCACGAACACTCAGATTCTCCAAAACTCTCAAAACTAGCAGAAGTAGCACTCTCCTTCATAGAGTAGAGCAGATACTACTACTCTGGTATTAATGCACAATCTGTGACACATGCCTCACAAGATAAAGCTTTTCCTCGTCAAGATCAGCCTACACCACTCTTTGCCCCAGGCCAGTAACTAAGGCCAGGTTTAGCATAATCTTAGCAAGGAAATATAGTTCCTTCCATGTTGCTAATATGTTCTGGAAGGAACTGAGATGAACATGTTTGAGAGTGGGTCTTGAGGACGATGGGCCTGAGTGGTCGGGCAGAAGATGAGACTGGGTCGGAGAGAATTCATTAACACAGGAGCACATTCTTTTGACATGGGACTTACTGCCCTGCAAGAATGTCTCAGGCTGGTCCTAATATGCTTGAAGCTTGGACATGATGACAGCCTACAACAAATGAAATGGAGATGTGAGAATTTCCATGGCAGAGTGTTGACGAAGATATTGGAAGGTTCACAGATGTGGGGCTGTTAGAGGGTAGACATTTGGCAATATTACCACAGATATGGGCTTTCTAGTATCAATGTAAATGAATCTGGAATAGTACAGACTGTAGTATTATTTAACCATCAGAGGTAAGGTGGAAATAATTGCCTTCATGGGCAGAAAAGACAGAGTGGCAACCAGGATACTTTGTCCCACAGAGGTCTATGACAGTGGCTAGTAGACCACTACTAGAATTTTTTAGAGAGCCCTGTGGCCATGCAGGGAATCCCAAGGCCAGGGCTGAGCAAGAGCATTTTCCATATGTCTTCTTCCTCTCTTTTAAAGCCCCCTCTCTAGTCCCTGATAACCCACTAAACCATTAACCCATTAGTCAATGAGTGGATTAATCCATTTATGAGAGCATAGTCTGCACATCAATCACCTCTTAACAGCCCCACCTGTCAAATGCCATATTGGGGATTAAGTTCCAACATGAGCTTTGGAGGGGACAAACGTTCAAACCACAGCATTCCACCAAGTGTGCCAGGAAGCA